AAAAGAAAAAACAGAAATACATTTTTAATATTAACCCTTTAAAGCCTGATCGAAGAATAAAACAAAACAGAAAATGACTTTTTTTTGGTTTGAATTCTTTATTTGGCCTTTTAACAAAATATGTAAAAAGAAAAACAGAAATACATTTTTTATATTAATAATTTATTACTATGTGATAAGTCAAGATTATTTTTTGTGTAGTCTAGAAAATAAATTAGTGCTTTCTGCCACAATGAATTACCTTCGCAGGTCCAAATTTGAATATTTTTTAAAATTATTTTATTTTCACAACAAAAACATAAAAACAGTCTTATGTTTCACTAAAAAAGAAAATGTGATGGACAACTGCCGAAAAACCCTGAAGGGGCTTAATGAGTGGCAGTCTTCATAAAAACAAATATATTTCACAATTTCAAACATCTATATGATATTGTGTAAAAAATTTGAAAAAACAACAGCATTTCTTTGTATAAAATAATTTAAAATATCATTTAGACCACAAATCCAAATGGAAAATTCAGACAACTTAGTAGCAGCAATTTAAAAAAAATAGTTCTTTAGAAAAATCTGTCAGTGATGTGGGAAGACTCTTCCATACCTTTGATCCTCTGTATAAAACACAAATTTTCTTCCTCTTAAAAGGCAATTTTTTTACATTTACCTTCCAAAAACAACTGGCCTCAACGATTAGGGTTTATGATCTTCAGAAAGACTGGAAGTTTGGGAAGGATTTGATTCCAATCGGACATTTTAAACGATTGCTCAAAGGTTTGGAAATGAGATCTATGGTTTGTAACTGTTTTATGAATTTCTTATTATAGATAGATGTAATTGTAAACTGTAATGTAATTTGTAATGTAATCTTTTGCCGCTGTCTTGGCCAGGACTCTCTTAAAAAAGAGATTGTTAATCTCAATGGGACTTTTCCTGGTTAAATAAAGGTTAAGTAAAAAAAAAATGTTTTAAATTTGAGAGATCCGGGGGTTCACGTGATGCAGTTACCCTGAGCGGACGCTTGTCGCTGGGCTCCCACCTCTCCCGAGCTAATTTGCCTTATTTTTTTATCCTTATCCTAGATAACAAGTTGTAGGCTTACTTTATAGCAACCGGACACCATGCCCAATCCTAAAACAGCCAAATCTTCCGCTTGCAAACTAACTGAAGAGCCAACGAGGAAGAATATGTCAACTAGCAAAGAAGCTAACCAGGCAGCTCAACAGCACGAGATACCTGCTAGCGACTCTGACTCCCTGGCCGCCGATATCTCTCAATCTGTCATCGAGAGGATTTCAGCCCTGATGGATAAAAAGTTTGCGGAGTTTGCCACCACTTTGAGCAACATCTCTGCTAAACTAGAAGCCAACACGGAGCGCATCACGGATGCAGAGCACCGCATTTCAGCAGTGGAGGATGACGTGTTGGCGGTGGAACCCAGGCTGAAAGAGCTGGAGTCAAAAGTGCGTATTCTGACCGATAAATGTATCGACTTGGAGGGACGGAACCGAAGGGATAATATCTTGATTTTTAACCTCAAAGAAGATACGGAAGGCCGACAGCCAGTTTCATTTTTTGAGAGATGGCTCCCAACTCTTCTTGGCTTGGAGTGTAAGCGGGGCGTCATTAAGATCGACCGGGCTCACCGGAGCCTTGGTCCGCCGAGACGTGACCGGCCGCGCGCTGTGATCGTTAAGCTACATCACTCCAGAGATACATCCAGGATCTTGGCGGCCGCAAGGAAGCAGCCTCCGCTCACATACGAAGGCCAAACGATCATCATCAGACAGGATATGTCTGCTGCTGTCAAGGATATGCGCCGTGCGTTTAATGAGGTGTGCGAACTTCTTATCAAGAAGGATATTAAATTCTCCATGAGATACCCGGCTGTTCTATCTTTTTCGCACGGAGGGAAAACCCGATCGTTTCGCTCACCCAAGGATGCACTTGCTTTCCTGGACGAACTGAACTGAGACTATGATATAGACTGGTTGATCCCAGACGCTGGACCTGACATGGAGGTTGATGCTCTACTTTTTCTTTCCTTCTCTCCTCGGTGCAGAGATACAAAGGTATGCGGCTAATTGTTGTTCAGATGTTACGCGATTTAGACCTTTGCTCACTCTGTGTCTCATGTGGATGATCAATATATGATAAAAGTGTGTTGGTTGCTTTACATTTATTAGGTATGCGGCTAAATTGCTATGGCTCGGGTTGGGGTGGGGGGGGGCTTAGCTTTAGGGATGATGTTTGGTCTTCTCTTTTCGGCGGCGACTCTTCTCGGATTCATGTGCCCCAGCTTTCGTTTTCTTTCTGCGACTGGAGTTCCGGAATCGCACAGGGGGCTTGGGGGTGGGAGTTTGTGTGGGGACCATCGTTTGGGGATGGCTGTTCTTTCGTTCACGAGGGTTCTTTTTTTCGTTATTGTCTACGCCAATGTACAATGTAAGCTACCTATTTTTCATGTCACCAAACTGCTGATTTTTCATTTGCTTTTTGTAAATTTATGGAGGTTTACTATTGCTCTTGGCACTCTTTTTCACAGAGTGTCAAGCTTTCCTTAGCTTTACTATGA